TGCTTCAACAGTATTTATTCCATTTGGAAAATAATCCAACTTGGATACTTTCATGAAATGCAAAATTCATTTAAAATTTTGTTTGGTGCTAGTTTGACAATAATCTTGGACATTCATAATTGTTTATAGGATCTTTAAGCCTACCCTTCATTTGCAGAACTTGACAGATTTAGGCTGGTTTTGAGAGTTGCAGGCTTTCTTAGGAAACTGGTCTGTCTGTGTGTTTTTAACTACTAATTAAAAGTCAGATTGATAAAAGTTGTTTTTGTAGTGTGTCTCTTAGAGACATAAACTTCATGAACTCATGAAATTTAGCTTTCATGTCATCACATAATGAAATTTGATAACTCATTGTAATATTAAAAGAAATAAATTCATCTATTTTATTTGATCTTGCCACTTTTATCACTCTGGTTATCAGCACATGTTAATGATTGAAGTGAAGGAAACCTTCAGCCTCCAGTTCTTTCAGTTAATATTTAATTTCTCTCATAATTAATTAATGAATTTTTAGTATAGTTATATAATTTGGAAATCACCATTCGACCAAAGCTAGTGCTTATCATATTAAAGTAATTAAAAATGCTCTCCAAGTCAACATCATCTAATCAGCTAATACAAGTAACTAGATGGAGTACAACATAGTGGTTGAGAAAAGGGTACAAATATTGCTCACATTTAAAATGGATTCAGTATTTTTGTAGAGCAATTTCGAAAATGTTGAAAAAGTTGTTGTGAGCCAATAACTTTTTTTCTGGTTCTGGCAATGGTATGAATTGAACACAGGACCTTGGGCCACTTGAGCCACAGCTCCAACCTTTTCATATTGTTTTTGAGGTGAGGTCCCAATGCCTGAAAAGATTTGGGTTTTTATCCTCCCAACTTGAACTTTCCATTTTGTCTGAGAATGACAGGTACTTGTACCTGTGCCTAGACATTGTGCTTTCCTATGTAGCTGGGATAACAGGTGAACACCACCATGACCAATAATTGGTTGAAATAGAGCCTCACAAACTTTTATGCATAGACTGGCATGAGCCACAATCCCCCAATCTCTGTCTCCCAAGTAGCTGGGATGACAGGCTTCAGCTACCACTCCCAGCAGACTAAGTAACTTGGGTAATATATCCTAAAAGCAAAATATCATCATAGTTTATTCTCAGACATCTATGTATGAGTACTTGTCATTGGCACAGATATCCCGGATAAGGTTGTCCATGACAACAAAAGTAAGTGGCAGCAGTAGTAGTGGGTGCTTGCTTTCAGCTGCTTCCCAGTGTTTGTCTCCCTGGGTTGCATCCCTTTCCCTTCCTTCACATACATGTTCTTTAGTTCAGGATTGCCTTTATTCCACCCAGGAGCCTCTCAGAAGTTAATTTTGTTTCTTTTATTCCTCTTGTTACCATTAATACCTAGATTCATGCTTCCTACTATTTCTCCGGGATTGATTTTGGGAAATAGCAATCAGCAGCTCATCTAGCCATCTTGATATTGCTGGGAATTTGTTCATTGTTTTATTGTTATTATAAAGGTGATGCACAGAAGGGTTACAGTCACATAAGTCAGGTAGAGTACATTTCTTTTTAGACAATGTCACCCCTTCCCTCTCACTCTCTGGATTTTTCCCTCCCATCCCCAACCACAAGTTGTATAGTTCATTTTTAACATAGTACTTAGTGAGTACAACTGCTGAATTTGTCCCTCGATTTCTGTGCCTCCCTTACCTTCCCAAAGACGTATAAACAAATGATATGCAAAAAAGAAAACAAAAACAGCAACAAAGACAAAACCTCTTGTTGCCATTTCTTGGAGCTCATTTCAGTAAATATTATTTTGTATGATCCTCAGAGGCACACAGGCATCTGACCTTTGCATTCCTCCTGTTTTGCTCGATTAAAGCATCACCATTATCACTGCTTAAGTCAGTTTACTGTTAAGAAATTTCTCATCTTTTCAGGATTTGATTAAATTGACTACCTCTTCTTGTTTATTTTTCTCAGTTATTGAGTTTGAACTAATCATTATAAAACAAGGGACAAAAGGCAAGAGACTTTATTCTCAAGGACAATTCACCTATAGCTGTATATTGATATGCAGGTATCAATACATCTATGAAAGAGAAAATAAAAAGCTTTAAAACATCACAGGAAAAAGAAATTCTTTTCCAGTACACATTTGTGAGAACAGCCTTTTATGTGAAGTCCTCCTTCACATTCCTGTGAGACTGTTTCAAGTTAGCAGTTTTAGAGATAAAGCAAGAAAATGAACATTCTATCATCTCCACCCTCAAGGGTACAGATTTGTTATTATCAAGCATTTGGCATAAATATGTTTGTTTAGCCATCTGTAATGTGTCTCAATCTAAGAGTTGGGAAAAGCAGAAATAGGGGAAGTACTAGTTATAATTCAAAATAAGGGTAACTTTATATCATACTGGGTTGCTACAGAGCTTAAGAAAATATGATACCTAATGAAAATTAACATCTAGCAATTATTTGTCATATAGAAATACTGTAGTTATTAATACTCAAAATTATAAATTTATTAATAGTAGTTATTGTTTATTTTTAAAGCCTTTTTTACCATTTAGCTTTGTAGTATGATTCTCAGCATCTTACTTACTTTTGTATTACTGTATTATCTTTTGAGCTTTTCTGGTTTCCAGTCAGGTAAATGTTGCTTGCTGTATGAAGAACTTGTTGGAAGTACTTAATACAGTTAACATTATGTTTTGGAAATTTTTACATTCAAAACTAATGCATTGGTAATAAGACATTTTCTTACACCTGAACTGACAGTTCATCTGGCACTGCAGATTAGGTTCCCTGTGAAATTTCCTTGAAAATAGCTAAAAGGTTATATTTTTTAAAAATTCAATCGTTTTTCATATTGCTTTTAAATCTTTTGGTGAAGAACACCTTTTTTTAGTGTACTCACAAGCTCTTACAGTAGTTTGGATGCTCAAGAGACTAAAAACCAAATAGGACCAAAACTTGGAGATAGAAGCACAATAGGAAGGAAGCTGTCCATTTGAGGATCTTTTCTAAACTGAGGGAACATGAACTTAGATGTGCTTTGTGGTTCTGCCTCCGATCTTAGGGACACACAGGACTAATAAACAAAGTCTTGTGCCTATTTCAGGAAGGAAGTCCTTCATGACACCAACATGTATACAGCTGGCATATCAGATTTGTCATTCAAATCTAGATTTGTCATTCAAATCTGATGATTTCAGGCAAAATTAAATTATAGCAAAACCAGTACTGGAGAAGATGGTGGTAATTATTGATATAAAAGAAGTTGAGGGTCCTTATTTAATACTATATGGTGAACCAGAAATAGAAAAATTATGTCTCAAAACTTAGCACTCATTGTATTGCCCACAGATATAAGGCAGTCTTCATAAGGATGCTACTTGAATTAAATCACATCATCAAAGTATTCTGAAAAGTTTGAAGCTGAGAACTTATTTTAAAGTTATCTGTGGTGTCTCCAGGTTTATTTTATATGCTATCATGGCTGGAGAACACACTTTCAATGTTCATGAGACACCATGGAATTGAAATGAGAAACTACTATTAACCAGACCTTGAGAAATTGTGAATAGCTGAACCCTTAAAGTCTTGAGCTACTACAATTACCAGATAGCAGATGGAAAATAGACTTATTTAATATATAATCTATACTTAAAGAAATTTAAGTCAGTTAAAATTACCAACCATAGGTCTTTTTGAACAGTAACACCCCCTCCCTCATTCCTTCCCAATTTTCCCCCTCCCTTGTCTGATGTATAGCTAGTAAAGATCTTCTCCCATTCTGTGGTCTTTTTATTTATCTTGCTAGTTATGCCCTTTGCTATGCAGAAACTCTTCAATTTGATGCAAACCCATTTATCTAGCTTTCTTTGATTTGTTGTGATTTTGTATCTTAAGAAGTTCAGTCCTGTGCCAAGGAACCCTCATTACTGCACTGTACAGTACTCATTACTGTAACTGTAATCCCTGTGTACATCACCTTTCCAAAGAGCTGCTGTTCAAATCTGCTGATTTCAGACAAAAGTGGACTTATGACAAAAACCAACACTGGAGAAGGTGGTTATTATTTGATCATAAAAAGTCAATCAACAAGTAAAACATAATACTCATATTGGCCTTATAACACCAAACTATATAAAGGAAAACAACAGAGATTCGAAAGGATATAGATAAATCTACCCGTATAATGGGAGATTCATACCTCCCTCTCTCTTTCTCTTTGTCTGTCTGTCTGTCTGTCTCTGTGTCTCTGCCAGGCAGTACTTGTGAGGCTGATATAGAAGGATTTCAGTTCAGGGCCAAGTTGGACTACATAGTGAGTTTCATGTAAGCCTCAGCTATTTAATGAGATGCTGATACAAAAACACAATAATAGTGATAGTAAGAAGAAAAAGAGAAGGAGAAGGACAAGTTATGGTTATTTCAACAGCATACAAGTGTGATCCAATGAAAAGGTATGGAATATGACACTCAAAAAGTATAGAAAATACAGAATACATATTTATTAATAATCATACATATGCTTGACTACAGAGCATGCCATTAGTCCCAATAATTTTCAGAGAATGAACAGAAGAAATAATACATTCATTGACTCAAACTTCAGTATGCTCAATGTCCTTAAAACAAAAGCAAAACTCGGTAATACATAAACAAATTTCCATAACATGATGATGCTGAATACTTGACAAAGCAAGTTCAGAAGAAATGTAATATTCCATTTATATAGATTTAGAAACAAGTAAAACTATGTAATAAATTATTCCAAGAAACAGATACGTGGTAAAAATGCTCAAGGTGAGAGGGAATAACACAGGATTGGGGAATGAGGAAAGCAAAGAGAAGGAGAGAAAAAGGAAGAAAAAAGTGAACTGCTTACAATGTAATTTTCTTATTTTATTTATCAGCTATGTGCTTTCTTCTCTGTGACTTATTTATATCCTCTGCTTATCTTTTCTGAACAAGGTCATTGCGGATATGGAGGCCCAGGTTCACAAATTGAGAGAAGAACTGATTAACGTGAACTCTCAGAGGAAGCAGCAGCTGGTAGAGCTTGGTCTTCTTCGTGAAGAAGAAAAGCAAAGAGCTGCAAGGGACCACGAGACTACTGTCAACAAGCTGAAGGCTGAATCAGAAAAGATGAAAATGGAGCTGAAAAAGACTCATGCAGCTGAGACAGAGATGACTCTGGAAAAGGTGAGTTTCCTAACAGAAAATTTTACTGGACAGTTAAAACCTGTGTTTAAAATGTACTGCCACCACACTGATATTTACTCTAAAATACATTATAGTCACTGTGCTATTTAATTCCTAAAAGATAGTAAACATGAGATCACTTTTCAAATTTGTAAACTTTTAGATCAACAATTTTAAGTATCCTGCTCTGGGTCTTAAGCAACACCAAATAATGCAAGGAATTCCTGAACTCTTCCTTTGACTTTCATGGAAGGGATTATATGCAAGATTCTAGTCCACAGTAGTTAAATACACATTGTGATAAAATAATATTGTTTATTATTTCTTAATTATGAATACTTGGGATGTAGTCCTGGATTTTTCTAAGTTAAGACTAAGTTTCACATTTTCCTTAGGTTGTCTAATAATCACCTCTAGATTTTATAGAGTTTTGTTTTGTTTGAACTCTGGGCCTGGGCGCTACCCCTCCGCTCTTCAGCTCAAGGCGAGTGCTCTGCCCCTTGAGCCACAGTGCCACTTCCAGTTTTCTAGTGCTTTATTGGAGATAAGAGTCTCATGGACTTTCCTGCCTGGGCTGGCTTTGAACCGCAGTCCTCAGATCTCAGCCTTCTAAGTAGCTAGGATTATAGGTGTGAGCCACCGGCGCCCGGCGACTTTATAGTTTTCTTTTTTTTGGGGGTCCAGTCGTGGGGCCTGAACTCTGGGCCTGGATGCTGTCCCTCAGCTCTTCAGCTCAAGGCTAGCGCTCTACCACGTGAGCCACAGCACTACTTCTGGCTTTTTTTCTTTTTGCTTATGTGGTGCTGAGGAATCGAACCCAGGGCCTCATGCATGCAAGGCAAGAGCTCTACCACTGAGCCATCTTCCCAGCCCCTTTATAGTTTTCTTAAATAACACTTTAACATATTAAAGGATGACTTGTTTTCCCAGGTTGATGTTTTAGTAGGAATACGAAAAGTTTATTTAAAATTATATTTTTCTGAAGTAAATATAAATGCAATGTTTACACATTTTGGGTTGACTTATTATGCTCAAGGAAAAATCTCAGATATATTTTTTGATGTTCTAAATCAGTAAATATTTTAATCAGGTACTAAATATGAATTGTTATTAATCTTAATAGGTATGAGCAGTGATTATCCATCTGTATCTTTGGAATAAGCAATTTGAAAAGGGTTATTTAGGAATCATCTAATCCTCTTCAAACTTTTTTGCCTCATCTTTAGCTACAAATAGTATTAAGTCCTCACACAATACATACCACTCTACTTGGCATTACTCCACTGGTTTGATGTAGATTGTGAGCCTACCTTGCCTTATCATACCTTAATTCATTGGAAAGTGCCATTTTACTAGACTTTGCCCTTAGCATGGCATTCCTGAACCCAAAAATAAAGGGAAATGAAGCCCTAAGAAGGCAAAGACTTCCTGGAAGAATAGTGTGGGAGTGTGTGTGGGGTGGGGAGGAGTTGTTCCTGGCTTGAAATGATGAATGTGAAAAAAAAGGAAAGTTGCTGAACCTGAAATAGAACCATCAGGACCCAGGAGCATGTCCTGTAGGTCTTCTAGAACCACAGAGAGTGCTTTGCTTTAACACCATGACTAGGCGTTTGCTTTAAGGCCTTGCAGAGTTTGAACAGAGTGATACAATGTGTCTCTTATTTGATTTGTTCTAACTGTGTGTTTGAAATTAACTGAACTGAGAGCAAAAGAGGAAGGAGGGATACCAGTTAAGAGACTATTGCAGTAATTTAAATAGAGGGTGATAGTTGTGGGCTCTGGCGGTAGCTAGCTGTGACAATGATGAAAAAAATATTTAGGCTTTGTGGTAAAGGTAGGACTGATAGAATTTGCCATTACTTTAGATGTGGGCATGAGAGAGGCTGGAATGAGTCAGTGTGACATTGGGACTACTTGTCCAAGACAGTGGACAGGTGGAGCTGCCCTTTTTTGCAAAGACTACAAGAGCAAGAAGCCCTTTCATGGTGTGTTGGTGTGTTGAGGCTGCGATGTCTTTGAAACATCTAGATGTATATATGAATGGTAATTCTGTAAAGTGATACAAAATAAAATGAACAGTTTAAATACACAGTGTTAAAATATATAGTTTCAGGAATGTCCTCAAACAAAATGGTCTCAGACTCCTAATGATGACATATAAAAGAACCTGAGATAGAGCAACAGTGTATGGCACTTATCTTGTCTGTTAACTCTTGGCCTCAAATACTTCTGCTAGCAGTTCAAGGCACTGCTAAAACCGAAGTTCTTAAATGGCACTGATACTTTGACTTAAGAAAACTAGACATACCAAAACCAGACTAATAAAACATCCAATTTAGGCCTTTGGTTTTTACATTGTATATTAACATTTCAAATGTCTCTTTTAAGTAGGAGATAAGCTTTTCCAATGTAGAGTTATATGTGTAACTTACGGGTTACAGATGAATTTTTAGAAACAGTATCAGAAATTATTGGTAATCGATATGGCAGAATTTCTGAAATATTTTCAATACACCAGGAAGATTTTCCCCCAGACATTGTAAGGATAAAAAGAAAAAAAATGACAGTAATTATTGCCCTCAAAAATAGTATAATGTAATACAGAGCAGAAGGTAGAACTACATGCACATACATGCAGATAATTGCGATGCAGAGTGGAGGGGGAAATTATTTCCTACTTAGGAAATTAACCAGAACTAGATAGTCAATATGCCAGATTCTGACTAGTAGGTATACAGGATGGTATTTCAAGACATAGGAAAAACAAAAACAAGAGTAAATAAATCTTTTTCCATGGCAGATAGATTGAAAAGGAAATAATGCTGTAGGAATCATGATGAAAGATCGAATAGGGATCATTGAAAGTTTCCAAACCTATGATTAGTATTTTGGCTGCATGGGGTAAAAATGGTGAGATGCTATGAAGGTTTCTGTGAAGCAAAGTGTCATGATTCAGGTGACCTGGGGAAGTCATTCTGTTAGTGTTGGCAAGGTGATAGAGCAGGAGAAGGCTTGACAGAGACCTGAGGTTTGGCCATGTGAGGAGGTGCATGTGCTCCAGTGGCAGCAGTACAGAGGTGATTTGACAAATCACTGCAGAAATTGAATTAATTAGATATGTTAAATGTAAATTCCAGTGGAGACATAGAAAGAGTTACTAGTGTGGAGAAGAAGAGGATGAAGTAGAAATATGTGAAATCTGAAGGGCTGCCTTCACTCAGCTGTGAGTCCAAAAGGAATATTTCAGGACTGGACAAAATAGCAATGGAAGATGCCCACAGAGGAGGGCACTGCCTGAAGGCCTGGAAGTGAGTGAGATTGTGAAGAAGTAGATAGGTAGGAGAGAGGAGAAAGATGGAGGCAGGGAGAGAGAGGCAAGGGGAAGGGGAAGAGAGAAAAACTGCCTAGGAGGTTGGGGACAAAGAAGATTCATCAAGGTAGAAGAAATATGAGAATATTGTGTTTTCATGGAAATAGAGGGAAAGAATGTTGGAAAGGAAAATTGTCAAGAGTATGACAGAAAATCAGGAAGAATGAAGGTTGAGGAGAGGTCACTGGGCTTAAAACAGAGCAGCCATTGATGATCTTGGGCACAGCCCTAAAAGTGATAGTGTAGACAGAAATGCTCTTGCAAAAGATGAATGAGGCAGTGGAGATGAGGGAAAATTTGATGTTCATGTTAGCAAGTAAGAGTTCCAAAGAGCAGCTAGACCTATAGAGAGTGTAATTTTACAGTGAGCATGTCTTGAACATTTGAAAGTACATGAGAAAAGGACTCAAAGAATGGAAGATAATTGGCAGTGTGCAATGTACTAGGGTCTTAATAGCTTCCTCATTACAGGCCCACCTCAGCATCTTGGCTACAAGCATCCAGATGCACAAGACACTAGTCTCTTCCTGAGATGTGCCATACACTCCCCTGTCTAAATCCTTATACCTCTCACCTTCTGATTTTCATATAACCAGGTTCCTTCTCATCATTCTGCATTTCTCAGATGATAGCTCTGCCTCTAAACTCTCACCTATGTAACTGTCTTTGCTCCTACCTCATTGCCTTCTAACTCATCTTACCATCTACGTATTATCTTTTTTATTTATTTGTGCCCACTTGTTTATTCTCGATTCTCTTCTTCCACTAGATTATATTCTCCAAGAACAGGACGTTGTCTGTCAGTTCATTGCTATATCATTGCTGCCTTGGGAAACCTGCCTGGTGGTAGGTGCTAGCCGCTAGTAGGAGTATAGGGAACCGGTAACATATCTTTTGCTTAGGGAGGAAGGAAGAAGAAGATTGGTAAAGAGAAGTTCTGTGAAAGACTTGAGAAGGCATGTAGCTAAACTTAGTGTATATTTTCTTGGTAGAGGGCCACTGTAGTCTGCACAGTGAGGAGCTTCAACAATGTTCAACAAGAAATGTTCTTATTACCTTATGTATGTAATTGTAACCCCTCTGTACATTACCTTCATAATAAAATTAAATTTAAAAAAGAAGAAGAAACATCTAAGCTGAAGGTGGAATAGGGGGGCAGGAGATCTCTGGTAACACTGGAGTCTTATAGCTAGAGGAAGAATCTAGATAGCATGAGTCTGAAGAATGGGATGCTCCTGAAGTGCGCTGAGAAAGTTGTGCAAAAAAGCAGAATAGTGGCACCGAGAAACCTAGTGAGGATACAGGGACTTGAGGGGAAAGAGGAGCATCTAAGGAGAGGGAACAAAGCTTAACATTTTCAAATTGAGAGAAGACATGGACTGAGTAGAGTATGGCTGTACAATAGTAGTTTCCAAAACTTTAGGATTAAGTACAGTTCTTTGTACAAAGCAGGCATGCATTTAATACAAAGTGAACAAATAAAAGAATGATAACAGAAATTCAATATAGCTTCTGTACATAGGAATGTGGGTAAATTTTATTTCAGCTTATTATACTTTGGATAGGACAAGTATATCTTTGTAGTCAGATAGTCCTTTGTGATGTTAGTATTGGATTTCCTCATATTCCT